CACTGTAGCTGGTAGCACACTGGGAAAGAGAAGACACAGTCTGTGTACCCATATATTCAGATGATCTGAGATAATTCTCCTGGGTTTGTTCTCCTGGTAGAAAAACTACCCAGAGACACCTGAGCAGACGTTTAAAGGCTCAGTCCTTAAAGATCAGAGAGCTTGCAGTGCTGATGCTATGCAGTCAGGGGGTCCCTGACACCATCTCATCAAGCTGTACAGGTTCCCTCCATCTGCCCAGAGACAGACACAGCAGGGCACAGGGCAGCCCTGATTTGCTGACTCGGACTTCCTGCAGCACAGTCTGAGGGTTGGAAAGGGGTGTGTTTTGTTCCCTGCTTGGCTGCAGTAGTAGAGTCCAGGGAGCAACATACTGTCTGCCTGTGGGAGGGGTGGAAGCAAAACACCCGAGAGTACTGGAGGACTGTGCTGTGGCTTCTGTCAGAAAGGAACATGGTAGTGATTTAACCCTGGAAGTTACCAACTTATTTTTCTCCTGAAGCGGCCATTTTTGCTTTGGGAGAAAAATTCCAAACATCTGTACACTACACTTATGGTTTCTCCTGAGAACGCAATGTCTCTCTCAGGAGAAACTGAATGTCTGTATGTGGCCGCAGTATAGACAGGAACTGTGGCAGGAAAAAACTGCGGTAAAATTTTAAAGATCAAATGTTCAAATTATTTGGAATGAATTAAAGATGAAATTGAGATAGACTGATGCTTACTGACCTCCAACAGACTCCAAACTGACCCCAAAGAGGTAACTGCCATACACGTCTCCCCTTGTTTCTAGAAATTAAGATTAGTTCAGAAATTATTTTGTTTCTTAGTAGTGTTGAGAAGAGGTTGCCAATCATCATTCATTGTACCAAATCATCAAATTGTACCAAATTGTGATCTGAATTTTTTATGTAGCTATATTGGTGCCCTGCTGGAGTCAACTAACTCATATTCTTTTATGACCTCAGTAGTAAACCCAGATATCAAGACTTTTTAAAAACTAGAGCACTATTTTACATGAAAAGGCCCAGGAGTCTAGAGCAGTGGGGGCCAACCTTTTTGGCTTGGTAGGCATGCCACAAATTAGCCCCACAACCTCCCCAAATGCCATTTTCATCTCCTTCCTCAGTTTGATTTGCTACTCTGCTTTCTGCTTCCTTTCTTGTGCTCCCTGCCCAATTTACTGCTTTGCTTTCTGCTTCTTGCTCTACCTGTCACTGTGCTAGTTGCCATTTGTGGGGGTGTAGGTTGTAGCTGTATTGGTCTAAGGACATAGGCAGACAAGGTTCCTTGGGTGAATCTGATATCTTTTATTAGACCAACCCAGATGGTTGGAGAATAGTTATTAAGCAAGCTTTCGGGTTCAAAAACCCTTCGTCAGGCTAAGGAAGTTTTAGCAGTTGGTGTGTGCTCTTCCTGGATGGAATAAAAAGTAAAGAAGCCAGCGACTGGGCTGGTATGCATCCAAGACAGGTAGTCAGTGAAGATGTAGGTTGAGAAGTCAATGGGTGAGAGACGGGGGGGAGGGGGGGAGCGGAAAGAGAGAAGGGGGATGAAAGTGGAGAGATACCTGGGGAGTCAGATGTCAGGCAGGTTATAATGTGTCAGAAATCCAATGTCTATATTTAGTCCATGATTTTTAGTATCCAGGAGGTTGATGAAGTGGAGTTCATAGGCTCCTCTCTGGGAAGTGTTTTGTAGGTTTCCTTTGAGGATCAGGACTGAGAGATTGGAGAGAGAGTGGTTTTCTTGTGAGAAATGTGCCCCCACAGGTAACTGGGTATTTCTGTCTTTGATAGATTTCCGGTGTGCGCTCATTCTGGTGCGCAATTGTTGTTTGGTCTCTCCTACGTATTTTCCATCAGGGCATTTGGTGCATTGGATGAGGTATATTACATTCCTGGAGGTGCAGCTGTAAGATCCTGGGATGCTGATGGCTCTGTTGTGGGGTGTAGTAAAAGTGGGGGTGGTGCAGATGTGTTGGCAGGTTTTGCATTTCTTGTCATGGCACGGTCTGGCACTCCTGCTGTAGACTGGCCACCCCTGGTCCAAACTCTGCCTGCTCCCTTGGTATCCTGACTATTGATAGCACTAATCTTTGAAAAGAGACGCATTATGTCTAGAATTACCTTCTACAACTGCAACCAGAAACATGCATACCCACCTCTGCATGTGATATGATGAGCCATTTATTTACTATGCACACAATAAAAGTGGATCAGCATAAATACTTGTTTGAGGCTCTTCTCTTCTGTTGTCTTGTTGTTGCTTTCTGATGCACCTACCCTGTTTCCCATATTGGCAGTGCAGTAAAAACATTGTGGGAAGGTTTTAATATTAGGGAGTGCAAATTTGAAGGAAGATATAAACATTTGTCACATGTCAGAGTATCCATAATATGTCAGAACTGTGAATTTGAAACATCCCACAACATTTGGGGGGGGGGGGGGGGGAGAGGAGGGAGAGACATTGATTTTTGTTGCTATTGTTTTGTGCAGGTTCCTGAAGCCTAAAGGCAGTAACTTCATAACTTGCAAATGGATACAATCTCTTGGCAACCATAAAAGCACAGACCAAAACATTGGCCCCAGACATACACCTATAGTTTCTGCTGAGCTCAATCTGAAGTCACCAGTAGGTCTGTAGGTATATTAGTTTTCAGTGCTTTGAATGTGATCCTTTTAGACCTTGGAGTTGCTTCAATTTTAGTTTGAGCCCAATACTTTTTTACTTTCCTAGGGTCTTGTAGCGTGATCCTGAGATGTGCTGTTTAACCCCAACTTCTGTTGTCTTCAGTGAGCCTTTAGTGCAGTTAAAGATGTGATTTCCAGATTTGTACAGAGTAATGGGTGTATTACTGGATTTGGTGGGAAATATTTAGGGGTGTTTTTTTAAGTTGTTATATGATGTGTTCATATGATGTGTTCAATGTGCTGTAACACAAAAAGCTATTTTGCATCTTGATAACTTCAGTGTTGTGATCTGCGCAAATACCAGAAATTTGATGCGCGGTTCCAGTCAGAATACTAATTGCATTTTGGGGTACCTTGTTCGTTTATAAGTGAAAAGGACTATGTGAGAGTGGGGGTCCCAAATGCCAGGCCTGGAGACCAAAGCTGTGATCTAAAAGTCACGCTTGATTCTGTATTTGTAGATTGCACCACTTATAATACAGTTTCTTCAACTCAAATATAACTCTGGCTTAGACCTAAGAACCCCATTGTTTCAGACATGCAGGAAGAAAAATGAAACATGAAGTCTAATTTAATAAGCTAACAACTTTAGTAACATAACTAACCAGGGAAGAAGCTGTCAGTTTCTTTCTGCTTATAGAGCTGCTGTCCACCCCTAATGATGCTACAGACGGTCCCAGCCAATGGGACCATAGCACTGTTTCTTTCGCAAAATCACAATCCCAAAAAAGCTGCAAATCTCAAGGGTAGAAATGTAGGAGTTGACTGGCCCAAAATGGTGGAGAGAAATGTTTCTATTTAGGGACTGATGGATTTCTTCAGGGCTCCTTCTGTAGTTCTTTACTTGCCCTTCCCCAAAATGCTGAAGAAGCTGCTGCTGCAAAGAGGGAGAATGAGGAAATCCTCCTTCAAGGGGTTATGCCCCTTTTCCCCCTACTGATCTTGAAAATGAACCTCACTTTGAGGCATGGGGTTCAGCTCACAACTTCAGATTATTTTTTCATCGACATACAGCCCTACCACTTTCAGTGGGTTTCACTGGGGGAGAAATGGTTTTGTTTTCTTCTCATTTTTTCCCTAGACTAGGCCTTTGCTTTGAGTGTAAACATCAACTTCCTGCTGTGGGAGGCCTTCAAGGAAAACTCATGATCCTATTGGTAGTTCAATAGTGAGTACTGTTGAATCAGTGCTACAGTTTGGTGTGTTCTTGACCAGAGATGTTGACCAGTTGTAATTATTGAAGGTCATTTGTCATGCTTTTAAAAAGATCACGGGTGTTAGCTCCAGTATCCTGGCTAAATTCTGGCTTGTGTAATTATTTTCTTTCTGCCAAAATTCCATTCCTAATTCAACAGGATAAGTATTCTTGAACTATTTAGCATTTTAGTAAAACTAAACAGCACCATTTCAGAGGCAGTGAGTGCATTGCCATTACAGGAGGAGTAAGCCCTTTATATATACTTTCTTAAATTATAATGTTTCAGGAGCCATGACTGAACACAAGATAAATTAAGAAGTATGAATTATTACAATTAGAGTTTAACAAGAAATCTTATCCTGTTTCATGTATAAATCTCAAAGCACTAACCAGGTAGGTCAGTAGCATTCTTTCCATTTTACAGCCAGTAAAACTGAGACTCACAGAGTTGAGTGACTTGTCAGTGTTTACCTAGCAGGCCAATTGCTGAATATGGTGTGGAACACAAGTCTCCTAAATCCCAATCTGTGCTGTCTAGCCATGTGGCAACACACCATCTCCTGTTAGTTGGTCTCCTTTCCTTAAGGAGTTAAATGTTCTTGACCATAAATAACAATGTTCATATGAGGTCATATGTGTCTGAGTGAATATTTATCTATTATTCACCAAGCCCGTGAATTTTAAGGGAAATGTTAAGGATAAAAATATGAATATAAAATTACTTTCCTAGTGAGTTCCTTTTATCAAAGCATGCAATACCACAGGAGCATCCACATTGAACCCATTCTATAAGCTAGCCAAGTAGATTTGCTTTCTAAGTATTTTAAGGTTCATATGCAAGTTACAACTGAACTGTTTTGACGTGATGTGGAAATGGAGCTAATATAGCTACTGTCCTGTGTGCCAGAATTGCATTCTTGGAATTTCTGAGCCTAAAAAATCAGTTTGTTATGTGGTATAAATAAGGTAGCAAATCTGAGAAATACGCTTTGATTTGAAAATAACAAAGGATATGTTCCCCGCAGCCCATTCCTGCCCCGCACCCTGTTCTGTTTTAGGAAATAAATAATGTCTTTCATTTATTACTTGTGATTTTTTTATGATTTCAGGATTCCTCTTCAATTGGAACAGCTACAATGGCTGGACCCAGAACAAGTGCAATAATTGGAGATCAGGGAACACCGCCAAAGGTCCAGCTCCCCCTCAATATGTAAGCAGCCAGCTAATCTTAATCACAGGCGAGCATTTTGTAAATCGTGTGTGTGTGTGTGTGTAATTTGAAAGAGTTGATTTCAGAATAGTTATCTCAGTCTCAGACATGACCCAACCTCTGCTAAAACTGAAAAATGAACAGTGAAAGGCCAGGTCGCCTTTCCATACACAGCCCTTTTAGACTTCTAGAATATTTATTACAGCCATATGAATCATTTCAAAGCAAATAGAGTGCCTATCAGCTACAGAAAATCTGCTGCCTTAAATAAAGCTTTTATGAAGGTGAACTCCGCTACAATTGAACACCTGAGACAATTATCATTAACCATACAAACAACCCAATTCCAATTACATTTTTTCAGTACCATAAACAAAGACATGAAATGAATGTTTTAAATACAAGAACATAATAACAATATATGCTTATTAAATAGTATTTGCAAGAACAGAAGGTTGATGAGATAGGGCAGAGAGTGATAGAATCTATTATACGTAGTACATTTTTTTTAGCCCAGTGGCTAAAACTTGGCTGCTGCTTAGTTAAACTACTGAACCCCTTCTTCCAATCAAATAGGTATTTTAAAAAACAATGGAACTTTATGCACACATGTATTACATCCTAAAATAATATCTGAAATTCACACATAAAACTTAAAGCAAGGTGACGGATCTGCTATAAACAGAATAGAAAATTGAGAGCCAATCATAAAAAATCAGCTTTTAATCATCCTGCTCAGATAAAATCAGGCACTCAAGCTCAGAGGGCACAGCACACCCCACACTGTTCAGAGGCTCTGGTAAAAGGATCACATCCTTCCCTGCAGTCATACCTTGAAGTTCCTGTGATAATGCTGTGATTACATATACACTGGGACAAATCTTTCCCCTACTTTTTCTACTGCTTAGGACTGACCAGATTGTGGTTCTGCTCTGCCAGGAATGGCAGGACTGTGCAAAAAGCTACAATGCCTTCCACAGTGCCTAGGGCTCAGATGTAAGGGGATCTCTGCATGCTACTAGGCCAGAGTGGGCAAAATGTGGCCCGTGGACTGGATGCGGCCCACCAGGTCATCCTATCTGGCCCATGGGGCCCCTACAAAAATTAGAAAATTAATATTTATCTGCCCCTGGCTGCCTGTCATGCGGCCCTCAATGGCTTGCCAAAACTCAGTAATCAGCCCTCCACCTGAAATAATTGCCCGCCCCTCCACTAAGCAAAGTACTGACCAACAGATCCATTGTCTCCTAGGTATTTTGATCCTTATCTTCTCTGCAGAGGTCAAACTAATGCTCTGCAAAGCTTCTCTGTTGTTGTTCTACAGGCTTGGTGGCTGGATTTTTCTCCTTTTGTCTTTGGAGGGATGCCACCCTGATCTGCTGATCAGGTTGAATGCTGGGGCCTAGGACTTCAGACAAACATTGCTAATTATGTCTCTGCCTGGATTTGTCCTATAGGTTGTCTATACACATGCTCCAGTGTGGCAGAGGTGGTTTTAATTAGAGTGACCCCTGGACTGCTGCTCTAATTAAAATGCCGCAGTGTCACATGTATTCAGCATCCTGTGTTTCAAAATGGCCATGGGGGCGCTTTATCTAAAGCTCCTTCGATGAGTTTTGAAAGGCAGGATGCTGAATACATGTGACGCTGGAGTGTTCTAATTTGAGTGTTCTAATCCAGTCTGGGGCATTCTAATTGCGTCTGCTCCAACATGTTCTAATTAAAATGCTGTGGAGCACGTGTATAAGCACCCACAGTGCCGGCAGATGATATACAGAATATACCGTTTCTCTGGCATTGGTATCTACCATAAGTACTACATTCACTTTACAAGTCTGTTGAATTAAACAACAAGCAGAGCACTCCCTTCATATGAAGAACTAATAAACTGCAATATTGCCATGTGCCTATGTACTGCAATCAGGCCATTTTTTAATTATATTAAAAATAATTTAAAAAACCCAGAAGTATATACATCTGCTTCATGACCCTGACTTTCATTTTATACTTACAAGCCAGGTTACATCCCCAAAAGGGGATTACAGAGAGACCCTTAAATAGAGCACTGCAAATTCTAGGTTATAATTAGTCACAGCCTACTCTTTTCAGCCATAACCTCCCTTTAAGGCTGGAATTTCTGGTAGAGGCCGTTTGAGGCAAAACAGTTTGCAATCATTTACTCAAGAGTCCTTCTCTCTAACACATTGTATCACTATTGTGACACTGCCTGATACAGCATTTTGTTCCATTTAGTGAGGTTGAGGGTTTTCACACTTTCCTCTTAGCCACACAGCACTAGCTAGTGGATTTTTTAACATCTAAAAACTAGACAATGATGAGAAGCAGGCAATTCATAGGTTTTCTGATTCAAATACAACTGGTCTCAGGAAACAGAGCTTCTATTCTTGATTCTCTGTTATGACACTCCCAGAAAAAAAAAAAGAACATGGAAACTACTGCTCCTGAGCTAAGCTGGCTGCAGTAGAATTGTATTCAGCTATGTTTGACAATAGGTGTGACTCTCTTATGCCTTCTCCTAGTCAACAGATATTGAATGCAGTTGCCCCAATCGTCTGGATGTTGTCAGCCACATTCAAGAAGTATTGTTAGACCCTGATAGAAGGAGGGATAACACTCTTTGATGCTTTGAGTCTATCCCTGCTGACAACAGTTTGCAGTATTTGCTTAGGTTGGACATAGTGTCAAACTCAACACTTTTCTAAATGCTCCTACGGAAAAATTCTATAAAGGTGAGGAAACCAGCAGATTACTTGAAATGTCAAGTCATCAGGTAACCTGGGCATGAAAGAAACCTGCATGGTTCAATGTGAAAGCATTTAAACAATGATATTCAACATGAATAGTTGCATTGTTTCTGTCACTAACAAAACCAAGCTTACCCAAGGTGAAGGATCTAGAAATAGTCCTGTTTTATTATACAGATTAGTTTTAAGCCTATCTTATTTTACAACTACACAGGTCTGTGTTAACACTTTCAAACAAATAAGAGAAAAAAAAATAGCAGAAAAATTGCAAAATCTAATGGCAAAGTTCCCATTAACTTTATTGGGAGCAGCATAGTTTTCTAAACTGATTATAGTACATCAAGAGATGACAGTGAGCAAAGGGAAGGAGAAAGGAGAATGGGAGGACTGCAGCAGCACCATTTGGGAAATTTTAATTTCACCCTTAATGTTACATCCACACTTCATTGATTAATCTTTGAGAATTTGGGGTAGGAAGGGAAGAGGTGGAGTTGCAGGGGCTTACATTGTCTTTGAGGTTTTGGTATAGTGGCTGTATGGAGGAGTCATGCAGGGGTAAGCAATAGAAGGCACTGCTTAAAATGGCACATAGTTGATCCTATATATATAAAAATAATATGATAAGACTATGGATGAAGTAATGCCCACCATCTGTTGACATAAGGAATCACTTGAGATGTGCTCTTACCAGTAAAAAATAACCAGAACTCCTTTATTTATGTGGATGTTATTTTTACCTGTGTGCTATATGCAGATTGGGTCAAATTCAGAAGTGAGTGCATCTAATCTGGTATAATGTATATGCTTTTTGGTCCTCTTAGCAAGTGCAAATGTCTAACTTAGACTTCTTTGGACTGACTGGCTTCTTTGGACTCACTTATCAACTCTGGCTCTGAGTCTGAGTTATATGAGGTGAAATATAAATGGCCAACGGTCAGAAAAGAGAGGTGTAACTAGCAGGAGACTTAGGCTAGAGAAATAAGTTACACATAAACTGGTTTAAGTGACCAGAAATTGGTTTAAACCTGTAACAGAACAGAAATTCAGTGCATGTAAACAAGTTTCAAAATGGCTGAAACTGGTTTAAGATAAACTTGATTGAATGTAGTGTCAGACTTAACTGGTTTGGGTCAAACTGGTTTATGAAGCTTCTTTTCCAGACCCCTTCCTGGTTCAAGTTAAATTAGAGTTCCCCAGCATCCCTGCATGCTTTGCAGCCCTGGGCTGGGCTGGGCTGGGCTGTCTTGTCTGCTCCACAGACCAAGGCTGGCTCACTGGCCTTGCTGGCTGGTTCACTACCCTCCCACCTTCTCCCAGGCAAACCCCTATTCAGGTCTGGGGCCAGAAGGGGAGTTAAACTTCCCTTCCCCTGAATATGGAGCTGTCCTGCCCTGCTTACTTAGTGCTGGCTGCAACTGTGTATTACAAATCCCAGAGGCACCTGCAAGCAGAAAGAGGAACTGGTAAGCAACCGTTCAGAGTCTTGCTGCTGTGAGTCTGGACTGCAAATCCCAGAGACTTCAGAGACAGCAGGAAAAGGAAGTGAACACACAGCCCATGCTGGCCACATGCCAGAGAGCCGTGCTGTAGCATCCCCCTGGCTTCTGGCCTGAGCCACTACAAACATGTGGCTGCATTTCCTGAATCAAAAGTGAATGTCTGTTCATTTGCTTATTGGTTCAATCTTGGCAGCTTAAACTAACCTGCAAAGACAATCAATTCAGCCTTGGGCTTTTTGACTGTCTGTACTTAGCGTTGGAGAACAATGTAAGATAAGTACCTCAAACTCTAGTTTAGCTTAAACTTCTTTACCCAATTCTAGTGCCTTAGCAGGTAAGTGACACCAGTATAGACTCTCTTAAGGCATCTTTACACCTGCTTTAGGGGGAAGGCAGGATTTAATTAGAATTGCTATTGGGAGCTGCTCTAATTAAAACACCTGCAGTGTCTTGTGTATTCAGCATCCCACGTTTCAAAATGGAGGTGGGGGCGCTTTAACTAAAGCTCATTTGACAAGCTTTAGTTAAAGCCCACCCTGCTGCCATTTTGAAATGCAAGGACACTGAATACATGTAACACCAAGGCTGCTAGAATGCATCGGACCCAGTGTCAGGAACACGTATAGGTTCCCTTATGTCGATAAAAAGGTTAAGTTGTTCTAAGGCAGTCTGAATTAGGCTGTTATGCCATTTTACACCTGACTTCTGAATATCGCCCACTGTAAAACTAATACCTAGAAAATTACTAATCCAAGCCATTCTTTTTTATCTCAGTCTGTGCAGTCTCAGCACTTTTCATCGTATTCTAACAGTACAGTGATGAGGGATGAGCATTGATGCATGTAGCATTATTTCATGTCAGGCAGATGCATTTTAATGTTCTTCAGTTCATATGCAGCCTCATGTTTTCTGTCAGGCAAGCAACAACAGACCTTATCAACGCTACCTGATTATAAAAACTGAACGAAGAATATGCAGGATGGTTTCTCCCGTCTGTTGGCTAATGAAATATAATTATTTGATTAGGTCTTTGTACCCTGTGCACATGGTAAATGGAGCCAAGCACATCAACCTAAGCATGCCCACGGGAGCTGTTACTAAATATTTTGTATTCTGCTCGTTACTGCTATTTATTTACTGCCTGCAAAATAAAAATAAAAAAATCTACTGGTATCGTAAAAGGGTAGAATAGGGAAAACTAACAGGATTTATTCTTCAATTATATTTCCTAGAGAGTAGAGGAAGAAGCCATGCATCATTTTAATGGGTTGGAAGCTTACAATCACATTGGTTATAGTTTTCATTATATATTTGTTTCTCTGATACAAGGTCCACATTGAACTTCTTGCCCTGCCTCAGTATGTAGGTATTCTGCTGTATGTTATAGTGTAAATACCATTTTCATAGCATTTACCCATGTGCTCTAGTCCTTCTTCACAGCTGTAAATCAACACTCAGGCATGAACAACCATGACTGGTAATAATTAGAAATCTCCTTTTTAGTATCTGCAGCAAGGGGAAAATGTCAAACGCTGATACTTACAAGATAACAGTTGTTTTGTTTGGGTGCTTTTGCTATTCTTTATTATTTTATTATTATTATTTAACCAGCTTCATAACTATTCCCCAGTGTACAAGCAACCATTTTTAATTTTTAACAAGCATCTCTCCAAAGAGTCTGAACTACCTTCAGAGGAAAGAAGTTGTAGTCACTTCATAACATGAGACAAGGCCCTGAAGTAATGGAGGAAGAACAAAAGAAAGATGAAAAGGAAGGTCCTAAACAAAGGGAATAAATAAAACTGTAATGAAATATATTGAAAGTTTTGCATACTGATATCACAACTAAGTGGTTATAAGCATACTAAATAGCTTAACACTAGGGTCAAATTCTAGTTGTTACTAAAGACAAAACTCATTAATTTTAAATGGGACTTTTGCCTCAGTAAGAACTTCATGACTTGTGCCTCATGCTAGTTTTTAAGATGAGGATTGTCCTATTCACATGAATAGCGGGGAAAAACATAATACAGGATAAGACCAATAGTCTGTTTAGCCTGGTGGTGGTTTGGGCTGGGGGTTTTTGTTTTGTTTTTTTATGATCCTGATCACTCAAAGATACTGCATAGGAAGGTATAGAAAATTATTCAGGGGACATTTGTAAAAATTCCTCTAAGAGAAATTTCCTAACCTAAATGGTCAGAGGTTGGCTCTTGCCCTGAAGCATGAGGACATACATCCCTTCCAAATACCAGGCTTTTAAAAACTTCTTAATATTGTAATTCTGGATATTCTCTCTATCCATACACGTGTCCAGTCCTATAACTAATGCTAAGCCCTTGGCTTCAGTGCTGTCTTGTGGCAATGAGTTCCACTGATTAACTGGGAGGAACATATTACTTGTCAAGTTTTAAATTACTGCCTTTTAATCCTTGGTGGTTCCCCTTTTATCACTTTAGGAGTGAGGATGAATAGTAGTGGTTAGTTGACCTGCTCCAATACCATTCACTATTCTGTGTGGATTTTAATTATGTGTCTCAGTCATTCCTAGGCAGCATACATGTCACAGCACTTTCTGCACTATAAGACTGAAATCAGAATCTGATTGACACTTTTTCTAGCATCATTTCTTTTCTCTGTGCATGTGAACTTTTCCCTGCAGCTACTTAGCTCTGTATGCATACAAGCCTCAGAAGAATGACGAGCTGGAGCTCCGTAAAGGCGAAATGTATCGGGTCATAGAGAAGTGTCAGGATGGCTGGTTCAAGGGGACATCTCTGAGAACTGGGATGTCTGGAGTCTTTCCAGGCAACTATGTGACTCCAGTTTCCAGGTGAGGACTGCTGCCCAGAGATTTCTGGTTTAGCAATTCATGGGGGAAGGGGCAGGAGGTTGCAGGTAAGGAAGATTGAAGAAGGGACAGATTTGTTTTTAAATGACATGCTCTTCTACAAAAAGCTTTCTTTGAGGCATCCCTGGTACCTTGGTTCATTGATTTTGGTTTAAGAATTATTCATTGTTTCAGGAGACATTGCTAATCATTTTAAATGACTATGCTTGTGGTTGATCAGCAGTGCATAGCCCATTGTTTTAAATAGCTAGTTGGCTATGGAGTTCATATCTAAAAAAGGAACCAAAGCAATTTAAAATAGAGATGCGTGAAAAAAGGACTGGTTGTGGTATGTTTCGCAACTTCACATTGTTTATATTTTGCTCTTGTAAAATCAAAAATGCCAGCTTGTTTGGATCGAGATTTAATTTTTAAACCTTCAGACTTCAGATGTGGAAGCTGACTTTGATAAATGATTCCTGATTAGTTATCTCTGCTGCAGATACAGAAGGAGATGAGGAAAAAGAAAAAAAGGGGACTTTAGTTTTGCAAAACCAGTGACGAATATTTCTCATCTAGATCCCATTTAACTGACAACTCTAAAGTTTTGAGAATGGTCTGATAAATGGTTTGTGATTTAGTCCATCTCCAGTTCACGTGTGGTATATCATTTGCGGTATAGACAAAACTGAAGACAAACATAGATTGGAAAGAGAGACATAGGAAATGTAACCTTGTTTTCACCTTGCCTCACCTGCAGTCTGACTGACAGTTTTCAAGTTGCATTGCAGCCCAAAAAGCATTAACTCTATAGCTAATTAATGCTTTAATTGTTTTGTTCCTAAACTTAGATTTTATTCACCTAAATTTGATATAGTAATTTGGCTGCATCTAACACTTGACTCTGTCTCTTAACCAATAAACAAAAAAGGTTCATGACATCGGTATTGGTGATCCAAATCAGCAAGGTTTTGCAAACTGCAGCATATGGAAGCTTGAACAAGATGCTGAGAAGTGCTAAAGGGCAAAGCTGCTTCCTACGAGCTTGAGAATTGTTTTATGACTAATTTTATGATCCATTAGAAACAAATGTGTAATTAAAACATTCTGTTCACGTACAAAGCACCTGAAGGGAAAACAAGAACAACGTGACAGTAACAAAATTTCTCCTTTGTCATAGCCTTCAAGTAACTCTGTTCCCCTTTCTAGCATCAGCAAAATAAAAGATGACACTTGCCTTGCCTTCTACCTCCCCCCACAACTCCAAAGCAATTAACTATCAGCAGCACAGAATTTAAGCACGCTGGGACTGATTCATGTACTGGCAGAATACCAGCGTGAGTTTCCAGCAGATCAAAGTCCACCCTGAGGGAAATGCTGAAACACATAATTTGGGGAGCCCAGACAAGGCTGGCTAGGAAGAAGATGAATTCTGGGGACACAAAAAATGTAGCAGTTTCAAAGATCTCTCAGGCTCCCCCTGCTGGTAGGACTCCTGGGGAAAGTCCCAGGGGTGTTTTTAAACCTGTATGTGTCAGTGTGAGCAAGGCCCTACTTGGGGGTATAGGGCTTCTTGGTACATATATTGTGGGTATATATTGCATCTCGCTGTAGTGGCAAATGAAATCTGCTGTCTGTGACTTTGCCAGTTCTCATGGACTCTCATTTCTCACCTGTCAGGTCTTCAGGATGTAATTGAGGGTGACACGCAGCATCCAGAGTGCATCACCCCTTCCCGTCTGGAGTTGGGGCTGGGAGGTGGGCAGGGAATAGTCAAGTTTTTCCCGGTGAAAAAAAAGAAAAGTCAAACCACCATTAAAATAAATCCAGAACAACAGAAATAAGGCAAACTTAAGAGGTACAGGGATGAAGTTCCAAGGTCTCTGTATTATTTCCTTCCTTCTCTCTTATTTCTCTCCTAATAGTCTGTCCTCTTGCCTGTATCTTGTTGAGTTGTTCAGTGAGTGTTTGTGTTCATTCTTTCTGTCAGATGCAATATCATTCTTCTTAAATGTATTTTTTCATTTTTTGAGTCTCTCCTCTGTGAACTCCTCCTTTAAGATTTATGTTATTTTATGGTTTGGCCTTTACTTTCCATCTAATTTGTATGTTCAGTGCTTCCCCACCCTTCCCACCTTTCTGCCGCATTGCACCTCACTTTTTTGCTTCCTGACTAGATTCATCTATCCAACTCCCAACCTCCCGGCCTGGTGGCATCTTCATTTCCTGCTCTCCCCTCCCTTTCCTTCAGTCCCATTCACTCTCTTAGCCTTCCTGCATCTCTTCCCCCTCATTTTCCCTCCTCTGCTATCTTTTTCCTCCTTCTCTTATAGCTCTAAGTATAGGGAAGGAGACAGGGGAGAGCAGATTAATGCTTGGCCCTGCCTACTTCATTTCCCAACAGTTGAAATGGTGAAATGGAAGTGGGGAATATTTGCATATCTCAGTGGTGAATGCAGCATAAACGTCCACATAACTTTACAGTGCAGGGGGTGGTTTCTGTGTGGCATTTCCTACCCCTCTGCTGACTGCAAGCTTGGTGGAGGGAAGGAATGAGATGTGGCTGACAAGAGAATAGATCTCTACTGAGCTGGCTCAACAAGGAGACAACCTAGATCCTACAGTTCCTTCTCTCTGCTTGCCCATGGGTAAGTAAGAGATCTCCCAGAGCAAGCACATTGAAAGAAGGAAAATGTACACACCATGGGAGAGCTGCCAGGGCTGGGAGTTGTTTATTTGATTCCGTTTTGTTTGTTCATTCATGTTTCACAGTATTTCTCATCGAGCGAGGTCAGCTGAGAGCACTCATCCTCTGAGCTCCCTTGTCACATGTCTGAACTAAAGTTAGTTGAATAGTTCATGTGAAAAACCAAACCCAGAGGCCCCATCATCTGTTTTAGAGGGTCCTCACTTGAAACATGATGTTGAAACCTGAATAGTGCAGCATAATGTAGGGAGGTGAGGCTCTTCATCTTTTCCCCCGTGCATTTATGTAGAAGACAGACCCATAGCTTATTTGAATTCCTGTTCCATTCTCACCCACAAAACAGCCTAGAGCAGCGGTTCCCAATCTGTGGTACAGGTACCACCAGTGGTACGCAGACAACCTGTCAGTGCATTAACAGATGTATTATAATTACTTTATATGACAAAAATTTGCTGGTGGTACTTAAGGTTGTATCATTTTAAATTGCTGGTGTTCAGTCTGTCAGAGTTTGAAACCACTGGCCTAGAGATACAAAATAGCATTTGAGACATTCATTTCATTTGAATTAAGATGTCTATTGAAATAAATTGAAGCAGAAGTTCTAGTTAAGGCCATCTCTCTGGTTTTAATGCCACTTGTAATGGAACAATCGAACTTGAGAAAGCAAAATACAAACTTCCAGCAAAATGCATTATCTTTATAGAAAATATAAATAAAATAACATATAACTTTAACCTTTATTTTATGTCAGTACATTAATTGGTATCATATTTAGCTTCAAGCTTTTCCTGTAGTTTATGGCATTCATCACTGCAGCAGATGTAAGACATAGTTATCCAAGTGGCTTAACAGAGTTTTCATGTTGTATTTCATTTGTTCACAGAGTACCTGTAGGAGCTAGCCAACCCAGGAACAGTATAGCAGGAGGGTCTCAGGCAACAAAAGGAAGCCCAGGAGCTGTTCATCCAGGAGGTGCAAGTCTTACAAACCCAGCCACTGCTGTCAGACCAGTTGTTCCAATCACTGCACCTCAGACTCATCCTCAGCTACAGACAGCCTCTCCTCAGACGAATAACTGTTTGAGGTATTCAGCTCAGCCAACGGCCGGCCAGCCTCGCAGTGCCATGCAGATGGGTATGTATGGTCCCTAATGCTTCTTGCCTTACCGTTTCAGAATTTGACATTGGATCCTTCATGCATATGCCACTGGAATCTTGTTGTCTCTGTAGGTTTCCTTCGCAAGCCTTTTACTTTAGTCAAAGCTAAGGCAACATGAAATAGGATATGTTTTATTTGCTTGTAATATTTACGGACTTCTATTGATCTCTGGGAATACTGTTGTGTTTACCAGACTGTTCTGTTGCCACAGCTGAAATGGATTATAGTGTTTACAAATATTTATACAATTTATTTTTTAGAATAAAATGTCCTGCATACTAAGAACAACATTTTGAAGTCCACTAAGCATATTGATGGCAAAAATACTGCTCATATCACAGAGCAAGTAATTCATGACTTAAAATTAAGAAGCATTTTGTTGGGCTTCAGGGATGAAAGGTATTTATTAGTCAAAACAGGACTTAGCACTGGCAATAAAGCAAAAGATCTGAAAAATACAGCCACGTTTTTTGAAATGTGAATAGGAGCTTAGCACACCAGGGGGTCACCATTGTTTCCAGGTTTTCTTTTTGATGGAAAGCACAGGTTTCTGGAGCAGAATGTATTCTGTTTCTTTTTGATACTGGACAGCCGTAAGGCTGAATGAATTAAAAATAAATTACATGGTAGGTCTTTATGGCAAAAATTTTAAACCTCTTGGCATATAATGTTTGACTGTGACTTGAACTGTTGCCATTGCAAAGACTGAAACAGGGAAGCATTAGGAGTGCTTAGAACTGACGGTCCTAGAAACAGAACAGCCGGTAAGATAAAATATTGTACAACAGTGGAGACGAACCCTTTTGGCAGACATGCCACATGTTGGCCTTGCACCCTCCTCAAGTGCCACTTTGATCCCCTTCTGACTGATCTGCTGTTGTTTCTGCTTCTTATTCTGTGCTTCCTGTCCAATCTCCTCCTCTACTTTCTTCTCCCTTCCCTGTGGTCCCTGCCTGATTTCCTGCTCTGTTTTCTGCTCCCTGCCCTAAATGCTACTGTGCTGCTTGTCCCCTCCCTGATCTGTTGCATGCCACACACACAGGTTGCCTGTACCACTTGTGACACTTGCGCCATAGGTTGTGCAGCAATAGATATCATAGATTCTAAGGACAGAAGGGATCGTTATAATCATCTTGTCTGCCCTCCTGCAATAGCCCAGGCCAAATGAAAAACACACAATGAAATGTACCTGGAACTAAATTATTTTCTTGAAAAAACTCTTGAACAGTCTTCCTCCCCTTTTTCTCTGACTGTAATGCACAATGGCATGTCTTTACATATATAAATGTAACTCTAAAATAGAGACTCTAAGGCTAAGTACAAACAGTCTAAAAGCCAGAGGCTGAATTGATTCAATCTTTGCAGGTTAGTCTAAGCTGCGTAGACTGAACCAATAAGCAAGTGAACCGACATTCACTTATGATTGTGGAAATGCAACCGCATGCCTACAGCAGCCCAGGCCAGAAATTGGGGGGCACTAGAGCATGCCTCCCTGCTGGGCTGGAGTAAACAGCTTGGGCCAAGGCTAGCCTGCCCACTCTACAAGGGAAGTTTTGTAGGGGAGGTGCAAAGCAACCTGGGATGCTGGAAGACTTGAATCTGGAAGGGATCTAGGACAGAAGTTCAATAAACTGTTTTAACCTAAATCAGTTAAGTCTGATGCTACATCCATCCAGGTTTATCTTAAGCCAGTTTGGGCCATTTTGAAAGCAGTTTATAGCCACTGTACTTCTGTTGTGTTACAAATACACCAAGGAGGAGTATACATGCTTGGCTCGAGCATGCAGGGAAATGGTGAAGAGAGCCAAAGCAGAAATGGCGCTTAGGCTGGCAGCAAAAGTTAAGGATAACAAAAAGTCATTCTTTAAGTATATAGGAAACAAAAAGAAGGTGCAGGGTAACTTAGGGCCCCATCAGGATGAACTAGGGCAACTGGTAACTGATAGGATGACTAAAGCAGAGTTTCTAAATGATTTCTTTGCATCTGTGTTCCTGGACATGACTACAAATACACATCTCATTGGGACCTTAGGTAAGCCCAGTATAGACACCAGCCCACCAACTGTTTGTGCTGACTAGTAAAGGGGCATCTGGAAGGGTTGAATGTATTTAAGTCAACAGGTCCTGATGATCTTCATCCTAGAGTACTTAGGGAATTAGCTGGAGTAATAGCAGAGCTGCTGGCACAACTGCAGTGCAACTACTACAGACCCCCTACCCAGGGTCAAGACCTTGACCAAGAGTTCACCAGGGAATTAGCTGAGACGGCACGCTCCCGGTGTATGGTTGTCATGGGAGACTTTAACTACCCAGACATCTCATGGGAGGAGCGCTCAGCCAAATCCGAGTGGTCGCAAAGCTTTCTCTCATGCATGGATGACCTCTAGCTGACGCAGGGAGGCTACAGGCTGACAAGAGGTAAAGCGCTGCTCGACATCATACTAGCAACTGGGGATGACCTAATCAGCGACCTAATGATCGAAGGGAAGCTGGATGACAGTGATCATGAGCTGATCACCTTCACCATCTGCCGTAAAGCTGGCAAGTCAGTCAGTAATACAGAAGTCCTCAGCTTCAGGAAAGCTGACTTTGACAAGCTAAGGAGGCTTGTCAGAGAGGCCCTAAAGGGCCACAACCCAAAGGAGAGGGGAGTTCAGGACAAGTGGTTGCTCCTCAAGGGAGCAATCCTGGATGCGCAAGCAAAGTCTATCTCGTCTTGGAGGAAAGGCAGCAAAAGGGCACAACAGCCCCCTTGGCTCTCCAGGGAACTGGCGGACCTCCTGCATCTTAAAAGGAAGATCTACAAAGGATGGAGGACTGGACCCACCACCAAGGAGGCATACTTTGCTCTGATCCGGACCTGCAGAGAGCAAACCAGGAAAACCAAGGCTGCCATGGAACTCCAACTGGCTACAAATATCAGGGACAATAAAAAGTCCTTTTTCAGACATGTGGGGAGCTGGAGGAAAAGCAAGGGCAACGTTGGACCCCTGCTAAACCAGAGGGGACAGCTGACAACCAATACCCAGGAAAAAGCGAATTTGCTAAATGGATACTTTGCATCATTTTTTCACAAATGCCATGGGATGCCCTTGCCCACTGTGATTCAGGGAGGCCCAGGTGAGGGAGATTCCTTGCCCTCCATCGAAACTGACCTCATGAAGGAACACCTTGACAGGCTGGACACCATCAAGTCAGCCGGCCCTGATGGGTTACACCCAAGGGTAGTCAAGGAGCTGGCAAGCATCTTAGCTCAGCCCCTGGCACAGATCTTTGAGAGCTCCTGGCACTCTGGTAAAGTGCCCAAAGATTGGAAGAGGGCCAGTGTCGTGTCTATCTTCAAGAAAGGGAGGAAAGTAGATCCGGCAAACTACAGGCCCATCAGCTTGACCTCTATCCTGGGGAAGGTCTTGGAAAAGATTATCAAAGAGGCCATCTTTAACAGACTAGCTGAAGGCAATATCCTGAGGGATACCCAGCATGGGTTTGTTGCGGGTAGGTCTTGCTTGACCAATCTCATTTCCTTT